ACTCGCAGTGTGCGGGTCGTGGGTTCGAATCCCCGTCTCACCAAACATGCTTTCAGCCGTGGGGGCGTTATAATGTGGCAGTAAATCCCACTATTCGTTGATAAAAGAGTAGCCCAAGAGTTGGCGGTGATGGTGATGACTAGCTGCCTTCCATCTAGTCTTACACTGCTAAATTAGAGAAGGCTAGCGCAGATAGTCCTCGTGTGGCTTTGCGCGAAATCCAAACAAAAATAAACAAACTGTGAGTTGATACACAATCTCATTCATTGAGTAAAAACGGTTGCAAGAAAAATAGTTTAATTATTGATTAACTCTAAAATATATATCCAAGTCACAGAGTGTATAAAGACTTAGATGTTAGAGCATTCTTTACATGAACTACTAATATGTTTGTGATACGTAACTATAATATGGATAATAATATTTCAATTACTGTTAAACTCCTAAAAATTATGGTAGGTAAATCTAAATATTGTTAAACTCTAAAACATTAAAAAAAATAGTCCAGATATTGTTAAACTCTAAAACATTAAAATATATAGTCCAGACGTTGTTCAACTCTAAAACATTAAAAAAGATAGTCCAGATATTGTTAAACTCTAAAACATTTTTCATGTATTATTAAACTACAAAACATTATGTCAAGTATATCCGAACGTTGTTAAACTGTTTTAGCCCACCAGTGGCTCACGGGTACGTCTAATAGCTTATAACGCTAAATGATTCAAAATAGGCATCAAACAGTTGCAGTAACATTATTGATCATCAAAACTATTAATAAGTTAGCTAAAAGGTTAAATTATTAAATCATAAAATATTTATCATTTATAAAGCCATTTATTGAATACAACGTGTCAGAAGATATAAGCGAACTCTCCTGTGATTTTCGTAGATTTCATAGACACAAATGTTGAACCAAACCTGAAAGTATAGTAAGATAGGTACAAAAAGTAAAACATTCCATACAACACGTGTTGTAACATTCACTAAAAATATTCTGTACCGTTTAAATGAACCTTACATAAACTGATGGTATTTTAAATTTATATTTTTTTTTGAAGTTTTATTGCATCACTTTCCTTCGAAAATGCATTTTATTATCGTAAAAAAGCGTGGTTAAAAGTGTATCTTCTTCTCTGCTATCTCCATTATAGTTATATTTCACACTTATTTTCTGAGCCACAGTGCATATGAATTATATGTGCTACAAGACATCCTTCGTACGACTGTGATAATTTTATTTCCATCAAATCCGATAAGAGAAAATTTCTCACATATATATTTATGTAATTTTGAGATTCGAAAAAAACAAAACCAACATCCATTTGTATATATATATATTCAATTAGTGGGCTTTGAACGATAACACACTTAAGGTTGAACTCCGTGAAAAACAACTATCACAGTGTTTAGATGGATAATTGATTAAACACATTTCTCTGGGTATTTAAAAGCGTCTAATATAAATTAACCAAATTAGTCTACGCTAGTTCCCGTGATGTAAATTCTTCAGAAATGATCCACGGGAGTTTATTTATCAGATTTAACTGCAAATTTTCTCCATCAATAAAGTTTTCCTCAGGCAACTCTCCTGCTTCGTGTTTCTCTGATCCTATAATCACGGGATCCAAGGCGGACTGCGGATGTCGGTTTCTGTAACTGTCTTATTACTTCCAACGCTGGCGAAAGCTGAATGTTACAAATGACGCTGCTGTAAGTAACAAACGTTCGTTACACCACACTTTTATTAACAACTGTTTATACTTCATTGCACATGTATTGGTAGAGTCTCCTATAGATGGCGAAAGCTGAATGTTACAAATGACGCTGCTGTAAGTAACAAACGTTCGTTACCCCATACTTTTATTAACAACTGTTTATACTTCATTGCACATGTATTGGTAGAGTCTCCTATAGATGGCGAAAGCTGAATGTTACAAATGACGCTGCTGTAAGTAACAAACGTTCGTTACACCACACTTTTATTAACAACTGTTTATACTTCATTGCACATGTATTGGTAGAGTCTCCTATAGATGGTGAACGTATATTGTTGTTGTTGGCCAACATGGAAAGATGGTCCCTCTGTTGATTATTTTCTTCTTTCTTCCAGGTCGCTGTACGACAATAATATCCAGTCTCTGAGCAACGGCACCTTCTCAGCTCTACAAAACATCCAAACACTGTAAGTATGTGAATGTTCACATTCCTTCTTCATTCTTGGTCAGTGCAGTAAAACGTTGTCAAATAACTTGACTTCTGATATACGAGAACTAAACCTATTTCTATCTCTCCCTCTTCATCCATCCCCATCAGTTATTAGTAAGGATACAAAAATCGAACTTTATACTTAAAAGATGAAACTGTTGGAAAATGTCAAGTATACTATATTTCATTTGAACATACGTTTTATTTAATAAGCAGTTGTATTGTAAAAGTACTTTATTGGGTTACAGTAATAATTATATTAGTCATTACAGCTGCAAGCAATAAATTGGTTATCTTACACTCTTAGTATTATCTATCTTATTATTATCAGACCATTAGAAACGTGTACTTGAATCCAGTAGATTTTTGAAAGAAACTCAAAATTTAATTTTCATACTATACAAAAACTTGCCTGTTTTTATTGGAACGTTAATTTAGTCTTTATAGAGTTCGAAAGCTTCTAATTAGTTCATTTATGTTGTTTCTTTGCTAATTTTTCGCAAAGTCGAGGACTATCGGCATTAGTTGTCTCTAATTGAGAAGTGTTAGACTAGAGGAAAAGGAGCTACACAGCGCCACTCTTTCACCAAAAAAAGTGAGATTTACCATTACATTATTACGGCCCACGTCTGAAAAGGCGAGCATGATCGAACACTCTAATCACTAGACACGCCAGGCCTGTGCTTTTATGAAATTCTATTTATCAATTTAGATGTTATCATTACAGTTTCATGAATTATTAGATTTTAACAAATGGTGTATCTATTTATTTTCTAGAAAATGATGTACATACATTAGGGATGCTTTGTCAGTTTGGTGGAACACTTTCGACCAAACCTAAAGACTTTCATAACTCTTTCAACAGTGTTGCGTCTATTACCTCTCGATCTTGTTAACAAGCAGTAACTACTTCACACTTCTGACGCAAGGATACGTTGATCTCTATCTGCGACCGAAAAGGACCTTTAAGAATCGTAAATCTTCTTCATAACGGCTAATAAAAAATCCGCAAGTCTGTTACCCGAGGGGGGGGGGAGAAAAAACATAAAACGAAACAGATTCATGGGTAAATCTTTGCCAACAACTTAATTGGAGGGGCGAGTTCTGTTTGGGCACTCCGAATGTTGCTTATTGGGGTCTAACTGTAGACGCTGTAAATTATACAGAATTTAAACTACTAATTCATTCAATGAAATGTGACTCTGCTAAGAAAGTTCACCTATAGTTGTTAAACTAAGCTACTTTTTCCAGGAATTTATTTTTTATGTTTCTATTTCAATAATATAGACATCACACGAACTATCAACCATTTGAAAGTTTAAAAATGGGTACAGGAATCAAATGTTTTAAAAGTGTTTCCTATTATTTGTTATCAGTGTTATTTCGTTGTACAACTCTAGCGGTTCTCAGTAATGATATAACACCCGTTTTTAACGATTAGTGAGAAACAACTAGAATTATTATATTCCATTAATTCGTTGTACACCCCCTTTTTTTCGGGTCTCTAATCCCCGTTACAAGCTGACAATTAGTAGGAAAGCTTGAAATTAAATATCCTGTTTTTGATTTTCAGTGAAAATAGAAATATATTCATTAACCCAGTTACGGTATATTTGCTAAGAAAAGATTCCACAAAATCCTTGCATACAGTTTTCTGTTTGTTTTACTATGTATGTGTGCAGGTAGAAGCTGTGTACTTCGTATCTTCAGAGATAATCCAGAATTACACTCTTTTCTCATGAGATCCATTTCATCACAATGACTTTAACATTCAGAAAGTTCTGAAATACTAGTCAACTATAAAAAGTTTAATGTTCCTGGACGAGTGATCTTGAAAAACACCAACATTTTGATCTTGTTCATCTTATAGACACGAGAGATTCGTGTTCCGGCAAACGTCTACAATCATACATAAACAACGTATATAACTTAGAAGTTGAAGTTTATTGTTATATATGCATGTACGTACGTTTTGTTGGATGTTGTTGTTTTTTTGTCACTGAGCTGTCTGGTTCCTTCGATATAAAACCTTCAGAGTACATTTCTTTTATAGCTTTTTTGTGTTGTTGATTTTGTTGTTTCTCTACTAAATATTTTACATGAATCTTTCATTTGATATAGACGAATCCTTCATAAATTTTGAACTATGTATATATAGTATTCTAGAAATATATTGTGCCAGAAATACATCGTTTTCGTCGTCAGTATGAAATATATCGAGCATTTCCCTGTTTAAATCAATAGGTTAACTTTGCAAAACTTCTGATATGCTGTGCGACCGCATCATTTAATAATCACGTGATTTAAAACCATGCTCTGAGTCTTGAAGTAACAAATAAAGATAAAAAAGTTTCTCTTACTGGATATAACAACTTTTTTTTTGTTACACTGGTTATATTATTTTGAGAAATTATGAAGCAAAACTGTCACATAAAATATATGAAGGAAATTTTTGACGGTTTGATTTTCTAATTTAAGTCAAGTATTTGACCTAAAATAAATAGTTGGATCTAAGCCTGAAGTTATTATGTGAATAATAATATTGTGTAGTTGTGATGCAGTTCCTAGTAGATTTGTATTATCTCCTCTAGATCTGTGAACGTTAATCCAAATTTGATTTGAACTGCTACAGTGGCGCCCTGAATTAACGTCGCGGTATCTTTTAGAACTGTTTTCAAACCAACATCACGTTTTTTTTTTTTCAACTGTACATACGTTTCGTACGCTTGTTATATACTTAATTATCCTAAAAATACCGCGAACTGCAGAATATGTCATAAAAAAAACAGCTGAGCGTAATTATAATGAAAAACAAATCAAATAACCCTAAGATAAAACAAAAATAATTAAAAAGGATGATAACCAAATTTAAAAATCCGAAACAGTATTAAGCAGAATTAAGAAGGTACAAACGAAAATAAACCGAAAATATAAAAGTAAACAAAAATAAGAATTGAAACAATATAATAAGAAACTGAAAATCTAAAGCCTAGGAATAGAAGTTCTAATTATGAAATAAGTTAACACAACCAAAAAGCTGAAAACAGTAATAATACGAAACTAAAAAAAATAAATATAAAACTATTACAAAAAAGAAGTGTAATCACAAAACAACAGTAAAAAGTCGTAATCTTTTAACGAAAATATTACTGTTGTTGTTTGAAGTTAAACACAAAGCTACACAATGGGCTATCTGTGCTCTACCCATCACGGGTATCGAAACCCGGTTTCTAGCGTTAGAAGTCTACAGACATACCGCTGTACCACTGGGGGGAGGCGAAAGAAAGAGCAATCAGTTACGTAAGTCTACAGACATACCTCTGTACCAATGGGGGGGGGGGGCTCCCAGCTGAAAGTCTATTAAGTGACCATACGAAATACACATGCCCATTAAAATTTAATTTGAAAAGTCATTCTTAATTCTAACTAAATTGTTGACGTTTTAACGTTATAATTTTAGGTATCGTGGAGATGTTAATGGTGGTACACAGTCCTGTGGAGTTAGAGCAGTGATGAAGTGTTTATGTCAATGTATAACTTAATCCGGTATTATATAGCTATACTTTTACATATTTTTTACTTTTCAAATTAAAAAGAAAAAATAGATGTATTAAATGGGATCCATGAGTGATTATAATAAATAATAGTTAAGGTAAAGCGTAGTCGGTATGTTCTATTAACATAGCGTTCTTATATTTCTCAAGGATTTATAATGGCCTTGATGTGCAGATGAAATATTTTGTTATCGATGCACCTGCAGTCCTTTCTAATGGCCAAACTAAGGACTTAGTTACATATGAAACCAGTTTGGGTCGTGACGACCTAGTGACACGTGACTGCAGATGTCTGCCAATTAGGTCATTACCCCTTAATTCGAAATGGTCACACGCAAGATGGTTGGTCGTGTGCCGTGCCCGAACCACGCACGGCCGCAGGCCGTCATGGCTAACGAAGTAATCGTGGGGTTTGTAATGATAGACTTTATGATGCACGCTTAATGAGACTTTGATCTAAGGACATCACCTTCAGCCCACGTAAGTTCACTTATGTGGGGGTTTCCTGAATGAGCAGTTTCTATTTTCACCGACTCATGAGGAAATCCTAATACTTTGGAATGCCTGCTGTGGCGTAGTTGGTATATAATTACTGACTTTATAAAAGAAAGATTTCTCATTTTACCTTTTCATGTTTATTTGCTTAGTATTTAGTAGGCTACAGCCATAATAGATATAATAGAGTGAAATCTAAATGTATTCGGTAAATCCTTTTACAGCCTGATGAAAGGTCACGCGAATTGAACCCTTATTGCTATGGACCAGATCAGCAGTCTAGACCGCAGGGATCATCCACCAGGAATACATGAGGGTTAGCGATTGACGTCAATTAAGAAGGACCTTAAAGTTATATTAAAATTTAAAAAAAATTGGAGAATTTAAAGAATACCCAAATGTTAAATAAGTTATGTAGAAATTGTTTGTTTGTTTGTTTTGAATTTCTCGCAAAGCTACACGAGAACTATCTGCGCTATCTGTCCCTAATTTAGCAGTGAAAGACTAGAGGGAAGGTAGCTAGTCATCACTCATCGCCAACTCTTGGGCTACTCTTTCATCAACGAATAATGGGAGTGACCATAACATTATAACGCCCCCATGGCTGAAAGGGCGAGCATGTTTGGTGAGACGGGGATTCGAACCCACGACCCGCAGATTGCGAGTCGAGCGCCCTAACCACCTAGCCATATTACTTAGTTTAGGTAGAGAAAATTAGAATCCTTATATCAACCTTTCCAACTTAACAGTGATATATTATTAAAGAAAATGCCTCCAATACTTGATCGATATCACAGCCAGTTCATTTACGACACAGGTTTACAAATGTGCAAAAATAGCATTTCAGATTTTTGAACCTAGGTGATGCAGCACTGATTTAAACAGTCTTGAACTGTTTAGTTTCTGTAAGTTAAAAGTCAGCAGTAAA